AGGGGTGGTGATATTTAAAGTCACCGCTGCTCTTGCATTGCTTATGCAATGGACAAGATTTAGCCATTCTAGTGCTTCCATAGGTTTGTGAAAACTAATTACACTGACAATAGCTGCTGCCAGGTGTGAAGAGTTCACTCTGTGTGCTGCGTCCTTTAGATACACGACCTCATTTGATCCCACAAAAACCTTTGGAAGTAGGTCAAGCCTCTTTCCATTTAAAAAGCTGGGGAAACCGAGGCCTCAGAAGTTAAAGAACTTCCCCAAAGTACACAACTGGTAAACGGCAGAGCAGAGACCCTGTATTACGGTTGTTGACTTTAAAGCGTCCAATCTTTAGGCTCTACGACCTATCTCACTAACTGAACAAAATATTTTACTGCCCTACTATGTGCTAGGGACTGTTCTATGTGCCAAGGACACAGTATGTCTATACTTCCGGTTTAAATGCTTAACCAAACTACTTTCAAAAACGCCAACTGATTGGAACTGTAATGAATATGTAATCAGTACAGAAGTTCCCTCTCTGGTCTTTGAACATTATTCCCTGTCATTAAACAATGTAGGATGATATTAAGGCTCTTTGTTGATGTACTCCTCCTGTTTTAACCATGTTCTTAGACATTACTCTAGGTTATGATTGTTATTTCCCAGAGTTTCATTCATCTTTCAAAGTGGTTCAAGATCATTCATTATGAATTCCAAGTGTTTATTAGTTCTGATGGGAAAAGAAATGGAAATATTAGTACAATCAATTCTAGAGCAGTGGTTCTCAACCTTCCTAATGCCACAACCCTTTAATACAGTTCCTCATGTTGTGGTGACCCCCAACCATAAAATTATTTTCGTTGCTACTTTATAACTGTAATTTTGCTACTGTTAATGAATTGTAATGTAAATATCTGTGTTTTACGATGGTCTTAGGCGACCCCTGTGAAAGGGGTCGAGACCCACAGGTTGAGAACCGCTTCTGTAGAGCCATCAGAAAACACAGATATTTACATTACAATTCATTTGTAATATTTACATTACAAAAAAAGACCATCAGAAAACACAGATATTTACATTACAATTCATTTGTAATATTTACATTACAAAAAAAGACCATCAGAAAACACAGATATTTACATTACAATTCATTAACAGTAGCAAAATTACAGTTATAAAGTAGCAACGAAAATAATTTTATGGTTGGGGGTCACCACAACATGAGGAACTGTATTAAAGGGTTGCAGCAGCTGAAACCGGTTTGGCTCAGTGGATAGAGCGTCGGTCTGCGGACTGAAGGGTCCTGGGTTCGATTCCGATCAAGGGCATTTACCTTGGTTGCGGGCACATCCCCAGTAGGGGGCGTGCAAGAGGCAGCTGATCTATGACTCTCTCTCATTGATGTTTCTAACTATCTCTCTCCCTTCCTCTCTGTAAAAAATCAATATATTATATTTAAAAAAATAAAATAAAATAAAAAAGAAATTGCAAAGCTTTGAAGGCAAGACCAAGTAGAATCTAAAAATAAAATAAAATAAAATAAAATAAAATAAAATAAAATAAAATAAAATAAAGGGTCGCAGCATGAGGAAGGTTGAGAACCACTGCTCTAGAGACAGGTAAGTAAAGGTGACACATAAGCAAGATGGTTTTGGAGGGTGATGGAGAAGGACTGGCAGCGGGAGAGACAGCTTCTGCACTGCAGACCACAAACAAGTCACTGCAGGGTGTACCGGGTGGGCCAGTCTGGGGACCACATGCAAACAAGTCCTTAATTCACCCAACAGCTATTCCTCTTCCTTTTACTGCCATTTTAGGCAAACAGATGGGAATTTAATGCAAAAAACGAGACGAGGAGAAGAGAAAAAAGAGCTTAACGCTGCAAATCTTCTTGAAATGGCATTTAAGGGAGCCACAGGCAGCAGAAAGAAGCCACCAGCACCATCATCTCTATTATCTATAAGAAAACACTTTCGCAAGCTGAGCAGAAGCTTAACGAGCCCCTTCTTCAGACTGAGCACATGGCCCATTGGGGCGCCTCCGAGTTATATAAAGTGCTCGCGGGGGACCCCCACCCCTGCACCTGGAAAGGAACAAAGAGGTGCCCCTCTCCGGGCTCTGCACCTCACTTGTGTCGGGGGCATTTCCCCAGAATAGGGACTCCCCCAAGGGAGTAGGCACTGCTCAGCTCTCCACTCCACACAGGAGGAAACTGAGGCTCAGAGGTGGGGAGTAGTGCTTCGATCACAGCCAGGGCACCTCTGAGGATGCTCGAAGCCCCCCAACAAGCATTTATTTAGATCCATGGTCGACAAACCGCAGCTCGCGAGCCACATGCGGCTCTTTGGCCCCTTGAGTGTGGCTCTTCCACAAAATACCACTGCCTGGGCAAGTCTATGTTGAAGAAGTGGCGTTAGAAGAAGTTTAAGTTTAAAAAATGTGGCTCTCAAAATAAATTTCAATCGTTGCGCTGTTGATGTTTGGCTCTGTTGACTAATGAGTTTGCCGACCACAGACCTAGATAAACAAGTACTGTGTTTCCCCGAAAATAAGACATCTTCCGAAAATAAGACCTACTTACAGATTTCCTTCTGAGTGAAATATAAGGCATCCCCCCCAAAATAAGGCCCCCCCAGGCTAAACATGAGAGATTTGGTCCACTGATTCTGAAAGAAATGGAGTCACAAGAAATTCACCAGGAAATTCAGGAATTGGATTGTTATGATGATGTTCCAGAAGATGACGACATGATTGTCATTGAATAAATGAGTAAATTCTTGATACTGTAGGATTCAGTTTGTCTGGTTTGTGTTGACAACTACCGTACTACCGTACCGTATACAGGTAATAAATTTCCTTTATTTTCATTTAACAATAAATGTGTACCGTATACTTCTTCATGAAAAAATAAGACATCCCCTGAAAATAAGACCTAGTGCATCTTTGGGAGCAAAAATTAATATAAGATACTGTCTTATTTTCGGGGAAACAGGGTATTAGTGATAAATTAAAAACAAACAAACAAACAAACAAACAAACGACACCTAATTTTTGTGTTTTTAAAATGTAGATCCATTTGTCATGAAATATGCACTTTGAAACAAGCAAAGTCCTTCTGGGACTTTCATGGCTCATGCCCGCCTGCCTGTGGCTGTCTCCTAGGCCCAGTCCCAATCCCAGGTTGTCCCGATGCCACCCCACTGCTCCAGCCTTTCTGAACATCCTCCTGAACACGACGACGGCTGACCTACTGTGCGCCAGGCACTTACGAGTCTAAGTACTTCACGTGCATTCACTCAATGAACCCCACAATGCCCCAGAGGCGGCACCACTATTCTCACGCTAAGAAGAAGAGACCGAGGCACAGAAGCCCAATGACACACCCATCCACCTACTAGTAAGCGGCAGAGCCAGACTGGATCAGGCCAGCTGCAGGGTCTGCAGAGCCAGACTGGATCGGGCCGGCTGCAGTGTCTGAGGGCCGACCTAGGATAGTACCATGCCACCAGCCTCCTCCGCCACTGTCCGCTGGTTTGCTCTCATTTGTTCCCTTCTCTCTTGTCTTTTGCCGCCCTCATTAGGCTGCAGACTCCATCCCATAAGCCACTGTTCATAATCCTCAGGCCCCTTCCCCGCGGACCCACAGACGTGTGGGAGAAATGCGAGTTAGTAAGTGAAGCCCTTTAGATGCTTTCTGTCTCTATTTGTGCTCCGTGATGCTAGCTATAACAAGCAGTGGCGTTTGTAACTCGTTGCATTATTAATTACTATTAGTAGCAGTGGTTACCGTATTTTTCGGACCATAAGACGCACTTTTTCCTGGGGGGGAAAAAGTCCCTGCGTCTTATGGTCCAAATATAGCCTACACATATACTTTAAAAAAAAAAGATTTTTTACTTGCCCGGCTCTGTGTGGTCTCTGTGTGCTTGCCCGGCTCTAAAATGGTTCTAAATGCTGCTGTTTACTTTACAGGGTTGATTACATGTGTTTATGACTGTGATGTTGGGTTTTAATGCACATAAAATATTTTAGGACACTATTTGTTTCAGAATCTTTTTTTCTTCATTTCCCTTCTCTAAAAACTGGTGCGTCTTATGGTCCGGAGCGTCTTATGGTCCGAAAAATACGGTATATTCTTGATGTCAACAGCAGTATTAGCAATTGTTTTAGTAGCAGCATTCCTGGCCTAGGTGACACTTGAGACCACATTTTAAGAAATGTCATGCTACACCAGAGAAGGACTACTGGGGATATCAATGAGAAGAGGCATCCTGTCTTCAGGCTGACATGGCCCCACGTGCGTCCGCACACACGCCCCTCACTGGGCACACCTGTGTACAGCACACACCTGTGTATCTGTTCTGAGCGCCCTGCCCAGGCCTCCCTGCCCAGGCTTCCCTGCCCCAGGCCTCCCTGCCCCAGGCCTCCTCACCCCAGGCCAAGAAAGGGCTGGAATGCCATAGAGAAAACACTAGCGTGGCAGCCAGCAGGCCTGGGACTCTTTAACCGCTGGCCTCCTGGAGACCGAGTCACCTGCCAGGGCCGTGAGGTCTTGTCTGTAAAATGAGCAGATGGAGCAAAAACATGCCTCAAGCCCCTCACAGCGATCTGTCGTCAAAAGAGGTGGCAGCTACCCCTGACGAAGGCCAGTTCCACCCACTGTCCTCAGCGCTTTTCCTCAGAGCACCAGCTCACGGGCTCCTCACCACCACCTTTCCCGGGAGGTGTGAATGCCCCATTTTAGAAAAGAGGCAACTGAGTTTCTCAAGAGTCCAGGAGGTGGGTGCTAGAGCCGGCAGACCCGAGACCGAGGCCGGAGCCCACATTCACTGAGCCCCGTACCTCAGCCCAGGTCAAACAATCCCCCTGGCCTTCCCCACCGGCATCCCAGCCCACCCGGTGCCAGCCGCCTCCTCACAGGCAGGGAGGCAGGCACGCACCCGTCGGTCCACGCACACTGGGCACCCGTCCCCCCCCCCCCCACGGGGGTGCAGCCCCAGGAAGACCCCTACCGCTCATTGTTCAGGGCCATTCTCGGGGGTTCCAGGTTGGGGTTCTCCATGGACTCCATCTGTGGGCACCGCAGGAAGTAGTAGAGAGTGTGGAGGGCGTCGGGGGACCAGGTGATGGGCTGGGGCGGCTGGCGGGCCTGCCGGGCAGGGCTGGAGCCGGGACACAGGAGGCGGCGCCCCTGCATGTGGTGCATGGCTCTGGACACCAGGTCACCTGCCGGGGGAGGAGGGGGGGCAGAAGGGAGGAGAGGAGAGAGAAAACAGAGTCTGAGTTCACGGCCCACATTCTCCCAAGAACCACATTCTCCCAAGAATGCTTGCAGCTAAAGCCCTCTAATTACGGCCTGCCCTGGGCGGGGGCGGGAGCTGTCACCTAGACACGCCACCGCCTGGTTTCCCTTTCACTTTCGGTCTTGCCTACACAGCTGAGCGAAACACCGGGCGGCCCGCCCCTCCGGAGCGCAGGCCGACTGTGGTTTCTTTTTCGACATCCCCGCTCTCTCCACCACCCCACGGCCTCGCCCCAGCGCTCTGACCAAGGGAACCCTCTGGGCCTCCTCTCCCAGCCTCCCACAGCCAGGGCCAGGCGCAGGGACGCCCCTGTGCTGTCTGGTGCAAAGGCCCAGGCACTTCGGTGAGGACGCTGCCTCAATCCCCCTCCCATCAAGCAGAAGCACCACCACCATCGTCCGCCGGGCACTCACCCCGTGCTAAGCATTCACTTTCCTAGAAATAGGATTTGATGTGATTCTTAACATGCCGGGGGCCACGTCTTATCCCCTTTTTATTTTATTTTATTTATTTGAAAAAATATATTTTATTAATTTTTTACAGAGAGGAAGGGAGAAGGATAAAGAGTTATTGGGTCGGCAACTAAGTAATTGCGGATTTTTAAAAGAAAATCAAAGACAATTTTTTTATGGAACTAAATAACTTTATTCTGTAATGTATTACCCATTTTGATCAATGACCTTTTGCCACCTTTCAGGCAGCATCATAATCCCACGTTCAAAAAACTTCTGGTTTTTATTAGCAAAAAACTGAATCAGGTACGATTTGACATCATCATCATTATTGAAATTTTTACCATTCAAGGAGTTTTGTAAAGATCGAAACAAAAAGTAATCAGATGGTGCAAGGTCAGGACTATATGGTGGATGTGGCAAAACATCCCAACCAAGCTCCATTAATTTTTGCCGAGGGACCAAAGATGTGTGTGGCCTTGCATTGTCATGATGGAATACAACACCTTTTCGATTTGTCAATTCGGGCCACTTTTCTTTAACTGCATTGTTTAATTTCATTAGTTGTTCAATGTAGACATCAGAATTGATCGTTTGGTTGGGTGGTAAGAGTTCAAAGTAGACAATTCCTTTGTAATCCCACCAAACTGATAACAAAACCTTCTTTTGATGAATATCAGCTTTTGATGTTGTTTGAGTTGGTTCACCTGGCCTGCTCTACGATCTTTTCCGCTTGATATTGTTGTAAACAACCCATTTTTCATCGCCAGTTATCAGTCGTTTTAAAAATGGATCATTTTCATTTTGTTTCTTTAGCAAATCGCAGCTGCTAATGCGTTGCGTAAACTGTGATTCTTTCAGTTCGTGAGGAACCCATGTATCGAGTTTTTGAACATAGCCAAGTTGTTTTAAGTGATTTTCAATGCATGTATGTGATACATGAAGCTTCTCTGCAATCTCACGTGTTGTACTGTGACAGTCCGAATTGATTATTGCTTTGATTAGGGCATCATCAACTTCAACTGGACGACCAGAGCGTTTTTCATCTTTGAGTGAAAAATCACCAGAACAAAATTTGGCAAACCAATTTTGACACTGCCGTTCTTTTAAGGCTTCGTCACCATAAACAGCACATAACTTTTTATGAGCTTGGGATGCGTTTTTCCCTTTGCGGAAATAAAAAAGCAAAATATGACAAAAATGTTCCTTTTGATTTTCCATTTCTCAACGAACGCCAAACAAAAACTACAAAACAGATCAAAAAACTTTTTTTACTGATTAACAGCTGAATAGCCAACTATCAAATAACAAAATGTGTTTTACATTTGTACTACGTCTGCAAACCTAAAAATTCAACTGAAGCCATATATGTGTGAAACCCGCAATTACTTAGCTGCCGACCCAATAGAAAAATTGATGAGAGAGAATCATCGATTGGCTGCCTCTTGCACACCCCCTACTGGGGATGTGCCCAGCAACCAAGGTACATGCCCTTGACTGAAATCGAACCTGGGACTTTTCAGTCCGCAGGCTGATGCTCTATCCACTGAGCCAAACCGGTTTCGGCAGTCCCCATTTTACAGATGAAGAAATGGAGGCTCAGCTGGTGAACAAACACGGACCCCGCACGTTTGACTGCTCACAGGGAGGCTGTGGTGCACCCGGAGGCTGTTCACCAGCTGAGGTCAGGGGGCTGGGTCATGGTCTACATTGGAAACCAGTCTGTGAGCTGAGCCGGGGCCTGGGCTGTGGGGTCTCAGGGCCCCACGTCCTGTGCTGTGTTTCTGCCTTTTCAATATCACCCCGGCCCAGGCAGGAAGCTCCCAGCATTGTGTGCGGCCACAATGCTGAGAAAGGACGGGGGAAGAGGCCCCGGGCACCTGCAGGCCCCTCGGTTCGGGGACGAGTGGCGCCCATCCATCCTCCTCGGGCCTGGGAACGCAAGGGCCTCCCCGGGGGGCAGTCTTCCTCCCATCAGGACATGGCTGACCCCGAGGGGGGAGGAATATGCAGGCTGTCATTTGGCAGGTAGTGTCATTCAATGTATGGCAGGACCAAGTCATTCATTTATGCAGTTTATCTTCACTCTGCAGCCTCTCAGAGACTGGTACTTTTTAAAAAAAAAAAATAATATTTTTATTAATTTTTTACAGAGAGGAAAGGAGAGGGATAGAGAGTTAGAAACATCGATGAGAGAGAATCATCGATCAGCTGCCTCTTGCACACCTCCTACTGGGGATGTGCCTGCAACCCAGGTACATGCCCTTGACTGGAATCGAACCCGGGACCTTTTAGTCCACAGGCTGACGCTCTATCTACTGAGCCAAACCGGTTTTGGTGAGACTGGTACTTCTAACACAGGGGTCTTCAAACTTCTCTCATTATGAGAATCACCTGGTGGAGTTGTTAAAACACAGATTCCCGGATCCCAATGATAAGAAGTGCTATCAGGAATCTGTGTTTTAACACCTCCACCAGGTGATTCTCATAATGAGAGAAGTTTGAAGACTCCTGTCAGATGCCCAGCTGACACTTAGAGAATGAAGAAAGAGCCTCGCCCCTTTATTTCATTTTAACATACAATGTCGGGGGCTTGATTTGAGCTCATTCGCTGCCACGACAGCCACAGCGATGGTGCGTGGCTCCTATGTGAGCAGGGACAGTGGCCCCCCTGGAACTGGAGATCTCCACTGGGAAAGAGTGTGTCCCGGACCCCAAGGTCCTCACTCCTCTCCACACACCTGACTGTTCATCCCTGCAGCTGTGGCTCGGCTCTCTGGGGGCCTCCTGGCAAACCCCACCCTCCGGCCAAGAGGGTGGAGAGCAGCAAGTTACTGACAAAAGGCTCCCATCCCATCCCCAAGACTCCGATGTAATGGGTCTGGGGCAGGGCCCGGGCATCTGGACTTCGTAAAAGTCCCCCCAGCGAATCTATGGCCCAGCGGGGTCTGAGAATCTCTGGGTAAGTGGGTGAGAGCATAGATCCCAGCGTCAAGTCAGGGCTCTGCTGCTTCCAATCTTACACACATTGCTGACCAGAGCCTTGGTTTCCTCGTCTGTAAAACGGGAATCATCACAGCTCACCTCTAAACTGTGCGGATCCCAATCAATAAATAATAGGTGGAAATCACTCCACAACCTTCCCTGGCACAGAGTAAGTACTTGACAAAGGTTAAGTACAACACCACTTCGATTCCTGGCCTGCTCCTCTCACCCCTCTATCCTGCAGGCCGTTCCCGTGGCTTCCTTAGTTCCAGGACCTCTGTCTACAGTCCTGCGCTGCCCCACATTTCCCAGGACAGGAGGCCGGGTCCTGAAATGCCAGCTCCCAGCCCTGCCCTCGGGCTCCTGGGTGGCAGAAACCGGCACCGACACCCCCCACCCCGCAGCCGCCTCAGCACAGCTCGTTGTACCAGCTGAGTCGGCTGCAGTGAGCTGAAACCTGGCGCCTGTCTCCCCGGGCCACAATGCCCTCGCTCCTGGCAGGACCGTAGGGCCCAAAGGGGGAGCAGTCACAGAGCCTGCGGTCTGCCTCCCAGAGACATCTTGGGGAGATACCCTTTCCAAGGCAGACAAGGTGGAAGTCGTCATCGCTAATGACGTTCCTGATTGCTTTCTTGTTTCTGGTGGAGAACCCTTTAGCAACAAGATTCCAGCCAGAATGCAGCCAAAAAAAAAAAAAAAAAAAAAAAAAAAAAAAATCCAGAAAGAAATGGGAGTGCCTCGGAAGGGCTTTCTAACTGGAACAGAGAGGCCCCTGGAAGGTTCGGGAAGGATGTGAAGACAGCAGAATGGCAGCATGGGATGGGGTCCCTGGACTTCTTGGCTCCAAGCCCAGCGGCATGCCATCAGTCTCTCTCAACAACCAGACAATCCTGACCAGGCATCTGAAAACACACACTGCTCTGCACCCCTCCTTCATGGCCAGAGACAGCGGGCGCTGTGGCTGTTCTCCCAGAGGGACTGTCCTCTCGGCCCCCTTTGATTTTCTCGGCTTCTATCGATAGATAGACACGAAAAGAGAGAAAAATCTCCTTCAGTCTTTACAACCACCCTTAAGGGAGGCATTTCTGTTTTACAGACGAGGAAATAGGCTCACAGAAGGGAAATGATTTGTCCAGGTTGCACCATGAGCCAGTGAACCAGCCAGACCTTGAACTCGGGGCCCTGTGCTCCCACCACTTGCCCTTGGTGGCTGCGCCCTTGCCACCTGAAGTGTCATCTGCAAACGGCCACAGGTCTGCAGGCTGCTACTGGGTCACAACAAGTTAATTTCAGAAATTTCAGACATTTCAAAACAACAACAACTCCATGGCAATGTCTATCTAATCTAATAAAAAAAAAAAATTGGCTTGCGTTGTACATGTCTTTTAGCTTACTTTTCTGGACATTCATTTTTATTGTGTTTTATGACAGTTTCAGTCTGCCGCATGGGGGCAGGTTGGATAAACCCCCGGCTCGTAGGAGAAGCCTTGGCCCAGATTGGACACTGGGAGCTGCTTCTGGAAAATTCTTGCACTTGAGAATCACTCGGTCCTCAGCCTGATGAAACCTCGGTTGAAGCGCAGAAACACCCACCGGGCACGAAAAGCCCGCCCTCGCTGCTAGTTAAGAGGAGCGCCTCGATCAGAGGTGCCGCAGGTTTCACCCCGGGCTGCCCGCCCTCACTATGTGCCATCCCATAAAGCCAAGGAAGCCCATAAAGCCAGCGGAGCCTGGAGTTCAGCAGGCTCCTCCACCTGGCTGCCTTAAAAAGAGGGGGTTTGTCTGTTTGTGTCCTATCCCCCCCATGGGCACTTTCACGGGCAGAGAGGGACAGGGGAACACACAGGTGCCCAAGGTCCCGTGCAGCTGGATCTGATGCAAGAAAGAAACGTCTTGACCTACCTGGCAGGCTGGGCTTGGCAGAGGGCAGGGAGCTGATGCCTGCTAAACCCAGGGTAAGGTTTTAGGTACAGGGTGCTCGGTGCCAAGTATCGCTAACCTCATTAAGCTCTTTAGTCTCGGAGAGAGGAAAATTGCAATATCTGCCTCCACCTTGTCTCCTCCCTCCTTCACTGTGGGATGAGAAAAAGCCCTGGTTTCAGAGCAAGGGGCCTTGGGCAGCCTCGTGCACGACACACACTGTCAGGTTGTCGGTGAAAAGGGGCTAAGGGGCTGCTGCTTCCTTTTGCCCTGAGAATTGGTCTGGCCAGGATGGGGACCGCTCCTAATGCATGTGTGCACGGGAGCGCACACACATATGAACACGCAGGCACACACATATATACCTGCACGCGCGCGCGTACACACACCCCTGGCATCTGGTACTACTCTGATCACTGGGCTGCAGGGGAACAGGGGGTAAAGCAGAGTCTCTATTCTCATGAAGCTCACAGGTCAGATGAAGCCGACAGGTCGTGGCCTCAGGACACAGGGCGGGAGAAGCATTTACGTGGGAATAGATGATACATGCCAAGTGGCGATCAAGGCTTTGAAAAAACCAAAGCTGTAAGAGGAAAGACAGAGGCATGAGAGTGGGTGCCCATCCATGCGGGGTGCTCAGGAAAGGCCCAATAAGGTGCCACTTGGGCAGAGACGGGCAGAGCATTTAGGGGGAAGGGTCACAGGCTCAGAGAACAGCCAGTACAAAGGCCCTGGGGTGGATGAACGTGGCCATGAGGTGGTGTGGCTGGAGCCCGGTCATACAGATAAAGCCAGATCAAATACTCCATCGTGGGGCACAGTGAGCATGTTAGATTTCACCGAGTGAGCCGGGCAACCACAGCGGGCATGGAGGGGATGCTGAGCAGATGGGCAATATCCAATTTGTGTTTGAAACGGCCTGGGTTGGGGCCAAGTTGGTAGCAGTGGAGGGGGTGAAAGGGGAACACTAAGATCTGAGTGAGTTTTAGAAGGTAAGACCGACAGGACTCTGTCTCCCTTCTCCTGAGGGGTGTTTCTGAGTGCCCCCCTGGCCTGGCTGTGGACGGCAATGAACAGAGGCCGCATAGGGAAGGGAAAAGGCTCAGGGCCCAGCCTCGAAGTCAGCTGCCCGAATGCTGGTGGCAGAGCCGTGAGCCACGTCCAGGGAGCCCACCGCCCCACGTGAAAGAGCTCTGCTAACAGCAGACACGGCAGAAGTCGAGCTCACACCCTGATTCCTTCTGGGGCCTGACTTGGGGGGAAATCACTCTTCTCCTCTGAGCCCGTTTCCTCACCAGGACACACCTTGCTGAGCTGCTATGAGGAGTATGTGAGATCACGTGGTGCCTTGCACACAGTAGGCACTCAATGTCCAAGATGCAAAATAAAGCCAAGATGCCTTCCGATGGTCTGAAGGCTGAGTGCATCCCTCGCTGCTCTCGGGGCAGGACAGTTTCCCAAACACACCAGGCCCGCTTCCTGCATGGCCCTCGGAGGGCAGGGGACCCGTGCGGCCATCCTGCCGTCCCCCAGGAGACAGAGAGCGGACGTCTGGCTTTCCCTCCCAGCCCCCAGCACGGATCCGCTCTGTGACCTGGAACCCGGCACCTTTGTTTCCTGTCCCGGGAAGGGGAGGAAGCAAGAAAGGAGGAAGCTGTGTCCTCGAGCAATAGAAAGGTTTGCCATTCAGTGTTCGGGGGCCAGAAAACTCCAAGAAATTATAAACAGAAAATCCTGAGTGATGCGCCATCTGTCCCAGCCTGCGCGCTAGGGCCCCTGGGTGTGTGGCTGCCGTCGAGTGGCCGTGGCCTCAGGATACAGAGAGGCAGAAGGAAGGACGAAGAACGTGCGGTTTGATTTCTCACATGACTGGGTAGTGACCTTGACTGCAGAGCCCTGAGGTCCTGGTGGTGGCCGGGATGCTGCCAGGGCTGGGGGACCCTCCTTCACCCACAGCGGCTCTGTTTTCATTTTCCCTTTCCCATGCGGAGGTGTAAGGGGCCCTTTCCTTTAAAAACAATCCTGGTGGTGAAGTCACTCCTTTGGGGACAGGCAGGTAAACTAAATGAGTGAGACGGGCCAACTCGAGAATAACGAGTCACGTGACAATGGAGAGGACACATCTTCGCTGCCCACTGCCCCTCCCCTGTCACTGCCACGCAGGGTCAGGGTTAGGGTCAGGGTTAGGGTCAGGGTCAGGGTCAGGGTTAGGGTTAGGGTCAGGGTCAGGGTTAGGGTCAGGGTCAGGGTCAGGGTCAGGGTCAGGGTCAGGGTTAGGGTTAGGGTCAGGGTCAGGGTTAGGGTCAGGGTTAGGGTCATCTGTGTGCAATGCAGGCCACTCTCGGCCAAACCACACGGGACTGTGGGCCACCAGTGTGCGATCTCTGGCCCGGGAGGATCGAGCTTCCAGGGGAGGCAAGAAGCGTGAAGACGGAGGAGGGCTGGAACCCAGAGCCAGCCTCCTCCCCCCCGCCTCTCCCCCAGCCAGCTAAGGCGGTGCCGCACGTACTCAGCTCGGAGATGCTCCCCACGCAGGTGGCCAGGAGGGACTGCTCCAGGGTGCGGAGCTCCAGCTGCGCGTAGGCGTCGGCGCGCTCGTCCTGGGCCAGGGAGCCGCCGCCGTTGTAGGGGCTGAAGTAGGCCGGGAGGGAGAGGACACCTGTGGGAGACAGACAGACAGACAGGTCAGCCCGGGGAAGCGAAGCTCACAGCAGAGCAGCGGCGGTGGCAAATGTCAAGGCTCCACCTGGGACGGCCGGCTCTCCCCATGGACAGCGCCGCCGTGGCCGGCTCGCAGGTGTCGCTGAGCCACATGGAGACTGGGAGCCGCACAAGGAATGGCCGACGGAGGCCCGTGGCCACACAAGAGCTCCTTCACCCTTCACTCCACACTCTCTGAACATTTGCAGGGGGCCTCGCCTGCCCCCGGTGCGGTGCTACTTTCAGGGTAATAAGGAGGCCTGGCTCTGTCTTCCTGGAGCTCAGGGGATGGCTGTGTCAGGATCAACCTCCACCTGGCGGCCTAGTGGGCAGCACCGCCCCTACCTCTCACCTCCTGTGCTGCTCTCCCCTTCCTTCTTCAAGCCACAGGGGGCCCTGGGAGAAACCACAGAGAACGATGCTGCATGCTCCTTTCCTGAGGACTGGTCCAGGCCCACCCAATTAGTGTTCTTCATCAGCGCTGTAGCGCCGAGGAGCCGAGCTGTCAGCATCCACCCCCCGGGGGGGAGGGGTGCAGCTGTGCGTTTCCCCCACTCACTGTGTGGCTTCTCAGAAAGCACCGGACAAACAGAATCGGCCTGGCTGAACCTTACATGCGGGTTCCTAAGAGCCCGCAGTCACACACATTCCCAGCGTCTAGTGACGGCCGTTTCTCTGATCAATGCCTCTTTGTCCACCATCCTAATTTTTTTTTTTTTTTAAAGGAAAATACCCACAGGAATTTAATCAGTTCCTTTTGAGAAAATGTCTTCCAATTCCTTGAGATAACTGGAGGCCCCCAGGATGTAGAATTCCCTATCTCCGTGGTCGGCAAACTGCGACTGGCCAGCCACATGCGGGTCTTTGTCCCTTGAGTGTGGCTCTTCCACAAAATACCAAGGCCGGGGCGAGTCCATTTTGAAGAAATTTAAGTTTAAAAAATGTGGCTCTCAAAAGACATTTCAATCGTTGTCCTGTTGATATTTGGCTCTGTTGACTAATGAGTTTGCTGACCACTGCCCTGTCCTAAACCCAGAAACACATGATGATGCCACGGGACATGCCAGAGAGCGGCAGAGACAGGGCCGTGGAGCTGGGCTCTGTCACTTAACCGGGCGGCGTGATCGTGGGCAAGTGACCTCATTTCTCTGCCTCCGACCCCTCGTGTGTTACCTAGGGATGAGGAAGGCGTGCCGCTGGCAGGGTGGCCCTGAAGGGGAACTGAGTCACTGCGTGTGGCCCCTGGGGCAGCGTGTGGCTCAGATGCAGGCTCTGCTCACACTCACTTTCCTTTCAGAGAACTGAACAACTTGTCAACCACGTAGCAGAGCTGGGATTTGAACCTGGGTCTGACCGACACTAGGTCATGCACACTCAACCCTCAGATCCAACGTGCACACCTCCCAGCTCTCCTACGGCTGCCCGACTCTGTGGCCTGTGCATGCGGCAACACCAGTGTTACTACTGCCGTTCCACCCACAGGAACCCCCGTGCTGAGCCCTGCCTGTTTCTTTCCTGGGTCAAACGCACACGGCATGCCTCCCCCTCGCCCGGATCCTGACCACACTTGGGTTCAGCCGCCGGTCAGCCCTGCCCTCCCAGCCTGCCCTTCCCTTGACCCGGCTCCCTGCCCTCCTTGCCGCCTCACTGCAGCTGGGCACTGCCCCTTTGGATGGCACCGGCCCCTCCCATCACAGCCGGCTCACTGACTTGGCAAAGTGCTTCCGCAGAGCTGAATCCCGTGGGAGGCGGAGGAGGGCATGACGGGGTTCCCTCTGTCCTATTCCAAAGCAGAAACTCTCCCCGACAGCGGGGTGCCTGCTAGGAAAAGCTGGGAGCATTCAAACAAGTGAGCCAGGGAGAACATCACGCGCACAAACCCCCCCCCCCCCCCCCCCCCCCCCCCCCGAGCTAACTCCATGGACAGCCCGGACACCAGCTCTGTCCCAGGCCGGCAGGCTGCTCCTCTCCTCTCTGTTATTAATCTCCAGAAACCACACAGGGGACATGTGGATCACATTTGCAGTGCTTCCAGCAAAGGGATAGGAAATTCAGCCGATTTGTCAAAGGATTCCCAGAGAGCAATGCTATGTCAATGGATCTAGTAACAGGAGCTGGCAGCTCCATTAATAATAGTTCCCATGTTCCAAGTCATCACCCACCCACGGGGATTCGCACTTAATACTGTGGCAACAGACATTATGAACCGATTATTATTATTATTATTAATAATAATTGATACCATCACTGCTTCTGCTTAGTACCTTTTGCTTTTAAGAGGCTTACAAGCATGTCCTCAAAGTGCTTTATTCCTCGAGTAACTTATTCCTCCAGCGAGGTTGGTAGGGCAGTCATCATGGCTAACTGTCTTGTTCTCAATAACCTTGACTGCTGTTGAGGGCTGACTCTACGCCAGGCACTGTGTTAGCTTACTTGCACGATCACATAGACTCCCTTTAAGACTTGGGGAGGTACCCATCCTACCCATCTTACAGATGAGAAGTCCACGGTCCCCCCAAGCTAAGTGACTTGCCCGATGTTATTGAGGATCAGAAACTGACCTGGGGCTAAAATGCCAATCTCTTGATTTCTGAAATAAAATGGCAAGCTGCTCTTTGACCCCCATGTCCTTTAGTTAAGCTGCACTGGAATATCTGCCAAGAGAGGGGTTCTGGCCCTAACTGGTTTGGCTCAGTGGACAGAGCATCGGCCTGTGGACTCAAGGGTTCCAGGTTCGATTCCAGTCAAGAGCATGTATCTTGGTTGCGGGCACATCAGCAGTGGGGGGTGTGCAAGAGGCAGCTGATCGATGTTTCTCTCTCATCGATGTTTCTCTCTATCCCTCTCCCTGCCTCTCTGTAAAAAAATCAATAAAAAATATATTTTTTTTTAAAGAGAGGGGAAATATTTTATTTAAATTCTCTTAAACACCTCGAGGCCTTCTTTGCCGCCCACAAATTCCCAGCTGTGTGATACGAACCCAGGGCAAAGTTGCTGTAAAAAGAGATTCCAAGAAAAAAGAAAAGGAAAAGGAAGGAAGGTCCTTTTTCTTTCTATTTAGTAAAACCCCTAGGGAAAAAAAAACTGCTTAGTTTAGTTAGTCATGATGAAAAAGAAAGCATGCTGGAATGATTCCCTCGACCCCTTTATTAGTCAAAACTGACACCCCCAACCAAGCCCCGTTGAGCTGTGTAAGTTACAGAGAACCCCATCCGCATCCCAGGTCAGGACAGTGAGATGGAGCCCCAGCCACCCTCCACCACACCCAGCCTTTCCGTGGAAACAGCCCTGACTGCACCCAACGCCTCTCCGTTTCCCAGTGTGGATAGACACAGAACCAGCCTCTTCCGTCACTCCCTCCGTTTCCCTCGGCCTGGTTGCCCAGCCCTTGAATCTGGGAACTCATTATCTCATTCCCCAAAGCGCTGCCTCCTCCATGGCCCATGCCTCTGGAGCACAGCCAGCGAGTGCAGCCCCACACCCGCCCAGCTGTGACGACAGACCTGAGTCATCACCCTTATCAGCGCCCTCCCTGCTCCCACGCACCGATCAATAAAGTCTTGCTCCTTTACTCCCTTACAGTTCCAAGTACCTGTCCCTGCGGTGCCCCAGGCCGGCCACCTCTGCCCCCCTGGCTGCTGTGGCAGCCTCCCCGCATGCCTCCTGCCTCGCCTGCCCCTGCCATCCTTTCCTCCTTCCCCTGGAGCTCACCCTCTTCCAGGCCTTCCTCTCAGCCCCGAGAAAGAAGCTCAAACTCCTCCCCACAGTTAAGCACAGATGCCACTCTCGTTTCTTCCTCTGAAATTTAGAAATGAAAATCATTCTGCCAGTAACCGGGGAAATCCCCAGCACCTCCCAGGAAGCCAGTCAAGCGGGGAAACCTATGCATACCTGAGGGCGGTCCTCCCAGCTGCTTTCCCAGCCTTGGCCCCTGGGCCTGGCTCCAGCTCTGGGCTTGGAAAAGCAACAACCCGGGTGACTCTCCACCAGCGCCCAAAGGGGGCGCCAGTGAGTTAGATGGGGACCCGCAGTGCAGAACCCTGGGAACCCCGCCTTCTTGTTGGCGATTGCCAACCAGGAATTCAACCTGGGTTTCAGCTTGTAGAAGCAGACGGACTGCACACGGGGCTGACAATTGGACCTTGAGTGCAAAGGTTTTTCCGAAGCACGGCTCAGCCTGAAAGCCCTGGCAAAGGACAGGGGTGCTTCCTTCTCCCCTCTGTTCAGCATGGGGGCTGACTCGATGGTCCTCCAGCCTTCTGCAGCCTGGGGACCCTACTCTCCCCCTGGCACCTCTGTGTGCTCTAGCTCTAACGTCTACCCCTCCACATACACCCCTTCATCCCATCATTTACCTTCTGAGCTGTCAACAACAGGAACCAATAGGCCAGATCTTATTTATGACCACAGCTATTAAACCCTCCTCCCCAACTCAATTTTAAGTGTAAAGAAAATATATTTTTTTGTGTGTGTGAAAACTGGATCCATTTATAGTTCAGCTTTTCTGAGCAGCCATCAAAAGCCATCAAGACTGTAATGTAACTGTCCTCTCAACTCAACATGCTATCACCGGCTCTGTCCCCAGAGTTGTGAAGGTTCTTTTTGGGCCACTGTGACTGCAGTGGGCCCAGCGACCTGTGCAAGCCTGCGTGGCTAGCACCCTCTCACCTCTGCCCCCCGCAACCCCTACTGGACACACTCCCCCCCCTCCCTTTCCTCCCCCCCTCCCCCCCCAGCTCAGGGAACCTCATTTCTGAGGACAGCAAAGGCCACCGCCAGCCGGGGCGCAGAGGAGGCTGACTCCTTTATTGCCCTGCTGAGGGAACTTGGCGGGGCGTCTCCTGCCAGCTTTCTCAGGAGCGGGAAGCCTGGGCGGGGTGCAATCCATAAGCTTCTGAAAATAAAAATTATATTGCCCCACTGAACGGCTTCCAAGTAGCCCACACAATCCAACTCTTT